CGGGGGGCGGACACCGGGCAGTGTCTGGGGACGTCTGTGGTGGTCACACTGGGGGGGTTCCTGGCATCGAGTGGGTGGGGACTGGGGATGCTGCTCCACACCCCATAGTGCCCAGGACGGCCCCCCCAGAGAATGACCGGCCTGCTGTCAGCAGTGCTGGGGAGACCGTGCCATAGCGGGCGAGGAGACTGGATCCCAGGGACAGCCAGGGTGTCCGTCCAGGGGCCCAGCCCATAGCGCGCCCCGACCGTGTGCCGGGCTCCCTGCCTCACGTCCCTACATCCTGGCGAGCCCAGCAGCCTCCAGTCTCCGCCTGGCACAGATGAGGAGCAGTGCGTGGCCAGGGCCGCCCCCACCTGAGTGCAGGACGCCAGGCCTGCCTGCCCCGAGGACACCGGCCTCCCTCAGCCGCAGGGACAGGCCTGCAACCCAGCTTTAAAAGCAGGCTCAGGCGGTGCTCTCCCCGACCCTTGCTTTAGAGATTCTTTCCGGTTTCTTGATTTTGGTACTTACCTGTTTACCTCTTTGAAACGTGGTTCAAAAAGTTAAAATTACAGATGCGGTTATTAGGAAACCACCTCCCTGCTTCCCTGTCCCTACCTGCTCCTTGGGTCCCCTCCCCATAGAGGCTACATCCTGCCCCCGACACGGGAGCCCCCATGGGGCCGCAGCGCTCACCCCTCCTGCCCTCGGGCCCCTACTTCCCTTCCCAGGACACCATCTCTGTGCACCGACCCAGCTTCTACGCCGAGCGCTTCTTCAAGTTCATGAGCAACACCGTCTTCCGGAAGAGCTCCTGTGAGTGCCCAGGCCCTCTGGGTGGGGGCGTGGAGGGAAGAGGGCGGACGGTCAAGGGCGGGGTAAACCTGGAGCGCTGGTCCTGTGTTCGGCCAGCCTTGGGCCTCAGGCGGGTACCTGGTCCAGGGGACAGGGCAGTGGGGGTGGCGCCCGCCCAGTCCCAGTCCTCTCCTTCCCGTGCAGCCTCGAGCAAGTGACGCCCCCTCCGCACCTCAGTTTCCCCATCTGTACAGAGCCAGGAGGGGGAGGTGTGTTCACGCACGCAATCACTGGGGAAGCTCCGTTGCCAAGGAAGCGGCCGGTCATCAGCCAAACTGGGCGTCGTCGGGGAGGGCACAGGGCAAGCGTGGTGGCCCCGGCCCATGGTGGCCTCTGGAGGTCCCGTGTCCGTGCTGGGCCTCCGGAGTCACAGATCCTGGTGCACCCCAGGCCGGACCCCACATGGGGCCTGAAGGGGTCTTTCTCCCTACGTGTGTGTCGTCGGCCCCCGCCAACCCCTCACCCACCCCCAAAAGGCCGGGTGCTTGTTCACTCTGGTCGCTCCAGAGTCCAGCCCGGGGCCTGGCACACAGTAGGTGCTCAGTAAGCGTCTGTGGGCGTGGGGGTGGTCTTGGTGTGCGCCTTACTGTCCAGGCCTTGCACTCCATGGAGGCTCCACGCAGGCAGCGGGAAGGGGCAGGCCCAGTGTCTGGCTCTCAGCTGGGGGGGCTGTTCTCCCTGCCTGGGTCAGATGTGTGCGCGCCGCGAGCCAGCGCCGGTCACCTGCAGTTGGCTCTCGGCACAGCTCCACGTTCTGTGACATCTAGTTGTACACTGAGGCTGACTGTGGAGGGACTGTTTACACCATGGAAATCGGCAAATACCACAAACCCAGCATCTGTCCCCAGAGAGCCGGTTGTTAACCTTTACCAGCACATCTCTTCCTGGAACCTTCTCAGGGTGCTGTTCCCACTGTGGTCCAGGGAGTGCTGGCCTCCAGGGACTGGATGGCTGTGCCTAAGGCAAACCGAGCGCCTACTGTATACGGGAGCTAAGCTCGCCATGCTGGGGGCAGAGGTCACAGGGCCCGCTGGGAGAGAGCAGTGACAGGTCCTGACAGGGCGCAGAGGGCGTCTCGGGGTTGACCCGCCTCCCCTGACCCTGATGTTGCAGACAAGGACTCGGGGGCCCCGAGAGCTGAGCTGCGTTCCCCAGGCCATGCAGCCTGCATGGGAGCCAGACCCTTGGTGCTGAGCCCCACTGTCCCAGGCCCTCGACTTCCATGTCAGTGGCGGGGCCGTGGCCGGTGGGCTGGGACACAGTGGATGAGGCCCCAAAGTGCTTGGCAAATGTTGGTTGGCAGCTGCCGGTCTGCTGCTGTTTCTGGGGGCTGGGGTGGGAGTGCTGGGTCCCCGGGGTCTCATCCCATCTCTCTTGACGGGCAGGACAGGTACCTGGGGCTCCTGGCACCTCCCGAGGCAAGCCGGGTGGAAAGCAGAGCAGGCTTTCTCCACCAAGAGTGAAGAGCACTGGGGGACAGGCTGGGGGCGGGGGGGGGGGGGGGGGGCAC